CATCCTCAATCTCAGTGATCACAGAAGAGTTTGCCACAGACTACAACTACACAGAGGAGGTGCTGGCTATAGGTGAAGGGTTCGGTTATAACATGGGTCGACTCTTCTCACTGGCAAGGGCAGGAAAGGACCCGTGGATTGTGAGTTGCAGGGTTCCAGTGCTCAGGCCGCATTGCAACATTCTTTACGCAGCACAGGACTTTGTGAAGACATTCCTGGGGCCAAGGTACCTCAGTGTCCACCTGAGGAGGACAGACTTCATTGGGTACTGCAGCGATCGCAGGAACAAATGTAACTACTACCCGATACCTCGTGTGGCCGAGTGTCTGGAGCAGCAGGCGAAGGCTGCAAACTGCAATGTTGTTTTTCTTGCTACGGATGCGTCTCCGTACGAGTTTGAATTGTTGAAAGATCTCCTGAGCAGATCAGCGAACTGGTCCCTCGCTCTTGTGCGACTGCCAATGAACTTGGGCCTCCCTTCTGGGCTCGATTGGGCGCAGCCACTGACCCATAATCAACGTCAGTACGTTGAGGTGAGGGCCTCCCTTGACCGTGTCATATCTGCAGCGGGTTCCACATTTCTCTATTCCCAACAGAGTACCTTCAGTCGCGAAGTCATCCGCCTTAGGACTGCCTGGCAGTTGAATGGGTGTCAGGACAATTCACTGTGCAATGGAGATGAGGCAGAGGATCTCCCTGCTCATTTCAATCTTGAAACGCGCTCCAAAATAATTGCCTATGGTGCACAGTCCCGGGACCTTATGTGTGTTGCGAACAGGACAGAGAAATCTGGATTTACGTGTCGGAAAGTCGACAAACAAAGTAAGGCCAAGAACACGACAATAAAAAAGGAACCCTAGCACGAGGAGGAGCGGAGAGAGAGAGAGAGAGAGAGAGAGAGAGAGAGAGAGAGAGAGAGAGAGAGAGAGAGAGAGAGAGAGAGAGAGAGACAGAGCTGGCAGAGGTGGATGGAAGTCATGGCTTTTATGGTATCTGCTGTTCTTACGAGCAAAAAGTGACTATTCAAGAGCATATGACATCTTTGCTGCGGATGGTGGAGACGTACATGGTTATGACCAGCTGTGGTTGGCACCGTAATGCTGCAATTCACGCATTTCTTCTTTCGACACACGATCTTTACATGCCGAGCCAGCTTGAGCAGAAAACTAAGAGTTGTCCCTTTTATTATCTTCCGGTCTGGGGTTAGCTGTTATTTAGTGTGCGGATACCCACGGCAGGTAGCGCTTTTCGTTCATTTGTTATTTCGTAGGAGGCTCTTGCCCAACTGTCACTTTTGTGTCGTCGGATAAGCATTCTATTTCGGGACCTTTTGTGCACAGCCTCTTTGTAGCATCATGTACTTGTGTTCTGGGGTACTGGTCGTTCAATGAGATAACAGTGGAGGGCGCTCCACGAGAAGAGAAGAGCGCTGCAATAGCCCAATGGATGGTGGCCGGGCAGAGGAATGAGTCAGCGGAGCGGTGAAAGATATGATTAACTGCTGTTTGATTGGTTGGTGTTAGTGTGTCGTTACATTCCTGCTATGCAGATCAGCGCAGAGATGATTGGATCAGGTGCATATGTTCTCTCCTTACTTTCGCATCTTCCTGTCATCCTCTTTCCAACCTTCCATAGCAGACTTGGCTGAGTGCCAGTTAAGTGCATGATCATCAACCTTGAGGAACATGAAAGGCAAGAGATATCATAAGGGTGAATGAAGGAGAAAAAAGAGAGAAAGATGGTATATAGATCAAAAGAGAAGAAAGGATAAGAATACCAAGAGGAGGGGAAGATGAGGAGAAAGCAGCTCCACCTACTGTTTGCCTGCTATGAATGGAATTTGTCATGGGCCCTCTTGGGAAGCATCTCCACTTGATGGGTAGGCCATTGTCTCACACTATCTTCCCCTGAATAGAGAGATTTGGGACATCCGTTAAAATTGGAATGGTACATAGATGATTGGCATGGCCCCTGCGCAAGGATGATACATGCAAATTGAGAAATGGTCAAAAAGAAAACAAGGCATCATTTTGCATCATAGGTAGATGTAACTGTTCTCAAACTTCTCCTTGATTTTCACTTTTCTTCAGTTTGCTCTCTTAGAGCTTCAGAGTTGCTCTTAGAAAAATGCAATTGTGAAACCATTCAGGTAATCGCTTGAAAGGTGAATGTGGAATGTTCCAGCTCTAAGGCACCCTGAACATTGGGGGGGGTAGAAGGGAAAAGAAAAGATCATGGATATGAATGGGATCAACACTTTGTCCTGCTATCGTCCCATAACCTTTAGTTGTCGTCTAGTCGGTCTGTTCGTTGAAGGAGGTAGTTTTCACACAGTCTTTGCTCAGTCCTCAGTGGGTTCCAACTGCCACATGCATGTCGCTCTCTCGCTGCAGAAGTGCTCTCTTTCCGCATAAAAACTTGTGCAAGTGTGTGTGGACCTCTCTTGCTGGAAGTTGTGCTGTGCTGTCTCTTCTTTAGGGATATCAATGAATCAAAAAAATAAAAAAAGAAGTTGAGAGAAAAAAAACAGCGCCTTAAAAGCCCGGGGGTGTGTGTTTGGCGCTCTGCGGCCAGCCTACCCTACTCAGCCTAGACTAGCCTACACTACGTATTGCAACAGGAGTCACTTTGAGCTGAAGACCAGTGTACACGACGACGTAGTCAAATGCAGACTGCCAGAATACACCAGGTAAATCCGTCTTCTCACCTCATCGCTCCCTGACTCCACACAGCCTGTGCCTCCCCTTCCCGAAGACGACCGTCGCCATCCCCGGCATGCGCCCCAGCAGCCTGGCTATGGCATTGTGCGCCCGCTGCCACCGCAGCGCTCCTCTGCCCTGCCAGCGCTAGCGCAGCCTGCTCGTTATACAGAGCAGCAGTGTGGTCGCATCCCCTGCCGAGGCCAGCCAGAATGTCTGTCTGGGCGATGGGCACTTTCCTTTACGGAAAGTGCTAGCTGTCCATGGGGCCCTGTAGCTTTCTGTTAGGCCGAAGTGTCTGCGCCCAGGACCAGTTGAGATACTGGCCTGGGTCTGATGCAGTTCGGTAGGCCCGGTGTGAGACGCGGTATAAGTGTTCGCTGCATTCTGATTTCCTCATGGCCAGTGTGTGTCACCGCATATGCATCATTTTCATTGGTCCACGGTTGTTGTGCGATATGTCGGCCTCTAGGCTCTCGCTGGAAATACGCAGGGTCTAGTCACTCAGGCACGGCCTGCCTGCAGAGCCTTAGTGAGCAGGCCAGGCTTACGTGTAACCCCCCAGAGCCTTTACCATACATGCCCAACGTGGCTGCCCAGCTTCAGGTCCGGCGAGTAGGTCATGGTCACACAGCATCCACGTGCTGTAACTGTTTGGCGTGAGGCATGGACTCGGCAAACATCTAGTTAGGACCCGACTGGATTTCAAGCCCACAAAGGATTTCCAACAGGCGCAATCCTTTGAACGACCTTTTGGCGCCTTCTGTATTGCCCCTTTCTGCGGTCACATTGGCCTGTACTCTCAACTTTAAAATGTGTTAGTAACAGCTCACATATTGGTTCTGGCTCAAGAGTTCATTGTTCTTATTATTATTGGGTGAAGAATAAGATTGGTGGAGACAAGGAGGAAAGTGGGGTGAGGAAGGGGGAAATTTCCCTCTTACTGCGAGCACAACGAAGGTCCACCATAGTCATGACCTTCACCTCCAACCTCATATGGTAGGTGATGGCTATGGGGGACTACTGGGGGCTCTGCCCTGATGTTCAAAAGACAACGCAAAAGCAGCTATGTCATCTACACTCAGGCGCCATGTTTGGCTCTGCCCCAAGGCCTTCTGGATGCAGCGCAAGCCGAATTGAGGCCCTCCAGCTGCAGCGCATACCAAGGAGACGGAGATGACGTCAACCATAGCCGGTAATAACCTCTCCACTCTGCTCCTATGACCTCTTCTTCCTCCTTCTCAAGCTGGGCTGCGCACCATAGCCACAAAGCGCTCTGCTCTCCTTCTTCCTCCCCCCAGCAGCGCTCTGAGAACCAGTGCCCGCTCAAGCAGCATGACGCCCAAACTTGCATAGCGCAAATGAGGAGGAGCTGCCAACCAGCCTCACGGCTGGTGACTTCCAGGTCGTGCGGCCTCCAAGCAATCGGTACCTCCTCCCTTTTGGAGGGAAACACGTTTGCAGGCTCTACGTTTGCAGGCTCTGTTATTGTTCGCACAGCCCCTAGACTCAGGCTACTTGGACTGGTACCCGCCTACCTAGGCCTACTGGTTGCTCGGCCTCTAAAAATCTGAACTTGTCTTCTTCTGCTAGGTCTACCGCTACTCGAGTACTACCGACCTAGCCCACCTGCTACTTGAGTGGCCCTAAGCTACGCGGGCCTACTTGCCCCACTACGTGAGTGTTTTTCCCCACTGCAAAGAAGTCACAGCCACAGGTAAATACCAGGCCCAATACCCTGGCCGGTCACGCACTCGCTCTCAAGCACTCAGGCAACCCGACAAATACACTGAAACCGACAAACACGCTCACACACAGACTTCAGAAACATCAGCGAAAGTGGGAATTTCAGGAGTCATAATCCAGTGGGAAAACACAGAAATCAGCACAGCTCTCAGTCTGTGATTTTGCAGTTAATTACACTAACAATAACCATGATGTCAGTGTGTCCTGTCCAGCTGAGAGATGTGGTCCTTTGGGATGTCCAGCCGAGAGATCTGGTCCTTTGGGACTGGGATTGGTAATCTGTGAACGCGATGCACACTACGAACTGGCCAACTGGTTGAAGCCATGGGCACCTACATTGATGGACTCAGGATTGCATTCACCATTGTGTTTGAGTTCCGACGGTTAATCTTTTGAGGAAAGAGTATGTCGTGAATTAACTCCGACGGTTAATAAAGAGTATGTCATTGTGGAGAGCGTTTCATTCCATTGAGGATGGGGGATGTCCCCTGTGTCTGAGACACAACTGAAGCTTGTGGTGGTGCTGTGAACGTCGTTGGTCACTGTGTATGCCAGGCACAACACTCTCCGAGTGCACACACCGAGGAGGCAACCTCTCCATCGAGCAGAAGTGGAACGGAGGGAGCCACAGCTCAGAAGGCTACAGACTCGTCAACATCGGTGGCAGTCTTTGGAGGACTGTCGGCCGTGGCTCTTGGAGGCTACTTCTTCTTGCGCACGGAGGGCAAGAAGGAGGAGAAGGACTAAGCATGCAGTCCTTTCCCTGAACCAGCGTCCCGTGAGTGGCTGAGGATGGTTGACTGGCAAGATGTCATTTCACCATCCATCCTTCGTTTGACAAATTGTTCGATAGTCACGACCGATTTGTACAGAGACTCTCTTGTAACTGGTGTCTCTCTTAACTTAGAAGGAAAAAGGGAAAGCCGAATGTGGAACACAGCGGCATCTCGTGGTGGTAAATTCACTGCAGCAAACGAATTTTTGGTGATGATTGCTATTCCGATGGATCAGGGGACGTACTGCATGGATGTGTGTGCCAAAGCGGTTTTGCCCCCCGTGATTCGCACTGGGGGCATGGTGGCATGAGCAAGGTGAGAGCAGCTGATTCCCCGGGGGGCTATGCGTGGACTCACTGATGGCATGGTCGTCTACTACATCATGATGGAAAATGATGGACAGCAGAATGTTGTTCGCACGGGATGCTGGATGTTTGATTGATTGGGAGAATTGAAACTTTGGGCTTGTTTTCTGAGTTTGTTTTGAAACTTTTGAAAGTGTTTGTGTTTCCGATTTTGTTGGATGTGTGCTACTTTCTTCTTTGATGAACGGTTTACCCTGACCCCTTGTAGGTGCTGCTGCTGCGATGAAGGATATATATATCCAGGGCAGACCAGGGGGGCCTTCTCCCTTGAGGAGGTGGGGTTCTCATGTAACTCCAGATGTACGGTTATTCCTCATTTTCCAGCGTAGCTGAGTCCAAGCCCTGTGTGGTGACTAATCCAGTGCAATTGGGTTTGATTAACATATTAAGTATATAAACTCCGACGAAACAGTTTGTCACAGCCCCTCGTTTGTTGTCCTCTTCTCTCTCTCTGCCTACGGTTTACCGGGCAGTTCTATTTGTGACGATATATATATATAGACAAGACAAGAAAAGAAGAAGTAAAAAACAGAAACAAAGACAGGCAGGTCCTGTATCTTGACGCAACGGTGATGCTGTGCTGTGTGAGTAATTGAGGCCCACATGCTGGGCAGTGAGTACGTTCGTGACCTGGAACAGAGTTCAGAGGAAATGGTTGTGAGGGAAGAAGCATGCAGTGGTGAGTAGTCCCTCTCTTTCCGGTGTTTCGTCCCCTTGACACAATACCAACTGCCCCGTCAGATGGGGTAATCAGGAGCTTATACTTTGTGTACAAATGAAAATCTTCATGTGGAGTTGCTCTGACATGTGTGAATTGCGCTTTCTTCCTCCATTATGTTCCTCCTCTGTCAATTTGGTGGTTGATTAGTCAACCTGTCCTCCTGGATAGCCAGCAGCCTTCTCGTCACTGGGGCACCATGTGTGTGTGTGTGTGTGTTGTTTTAGAAGGTGTGTGGGTGGGTGAGAGAGAGAGAGAGAGAGAGAGAGAGAGAGAGAGAGAGAGAGAGAGAGAGAGAGAGAGAG